TAGGACTGCCTGTTTCTTTACGTTTGTTTGTTCTTTGTTTATTTATGGAAAACCACACTCAGATGTGTATTATAGCCCAGTGTGTTCAATCATGACAGAATCTGAACTGAGACAGGCAAGCAATTGGATGTAACCAATGTTTCTGCAGGACTTTATAAAAAGTCATTAAACTAGCTGTTAAACCATACAGACTTGGTGTCATCATTGTCTCCAAATGTGCTTCAATAAAGTGCTGAGAAAAGGATGTGAACAATTGTGTGCATGTTATATTCTTTTTTTTTTCTTTTTTTAATGAAGTTACAAGAGTTTCAAGCAAACCTTTCTCCCTTTGTCATTATGGGCACTGTGTGCAGGATTCAGAGGTGAATGACTGTAATCCACTGTGGAATAAAGCTGTAACATGACAAAATGTGGAACAAGTGAAGTAAAAACTTTGAGGCTTGTAAGAAATGTTTTGTGAGTCTGATTTCACTAAAGAGGGAAAAAAAATCATGTGATAGAACCCTGTCAGTGTGACAAACACTTATATAGTGTTTGTTGTTTTCAGTGTTTATTGAAATATTCTCACTGCTGTTATCCAGTGTTGAAGTCGAACTTCATAATTTTAATTTTAATAAACATAAGTTTATTGGTCAGATTATCAGAATGAGCCTAAAGGTGGACCCGAGGAGCAGACTCACACAGACGAGGACAGTGAAGAAGGATTTTGTATACAGTGAGGTGTGACTGGAGCAGATTACACAGGATGTTCTGAAAGGAGCAGAAACTTAACTGATGAAAATTAACTGATGAAAACAGTACAAAGGTCAAAGTACCACGTGCTGTCAGTGAAAGCTGCAGCTGTTTTAGTGATAAAGTTAAAGACAAAAAGTCAAAAGGATTAATCATCCCTGTAACTGTGTCACTATATATCAGCATTAACAGGACCTAAGTTTGGTGTTTCAGAGAGCTGCTGATCTCAGACCTGCGCAGCTTCCGTTTTAAACACTTGATGTACTCAGCTGCATGAAGAGCA